TACAGATGTAAGGTGAAAATAAGCTAGAAAATATTTCTCTCTGGGACACGAATGTACAGTGTTTGTTACATTCCTGAACCTACTGTGTATGGTGCTTTCTGGATAATTCTTCACTCGTCCTCCTATATGGGGGGGAAAAACTGGTTTAAAGAGAGAGAGAGAGAGAGGGGGAGAGAGAAACACACACCCACACCCACACCCACACCCTTCCCCAGAACACAAGGGACAAATGTATATTTGTTTAAATACGACATCACAGCAAGTATTGTAGCAGTCTGCAGAATAATACGACGTTTCCCTATCCGTGAACTCAAGAGATGATGACGTGAACGGAGGATGCTTAACAGAGTCCTCCAGTAATACGAGAAGAAGACGAGGACGAAAAACAAACGGGATCCTAAGCGGACAGCAGACTTCTTAAAAACCGTCAATGGTGCTTCCCCCCTCCCCCTTTTCGGTTGATTTTTCTCGAGAAATGTGCCTGAGACTGGGTGCTGATGGACTGATTCAGATGGAGTTGAGGCACCCACACAAATAACAGAACAAGAGCAGGAATGTATCAAACGCCATGGCAGAAACTAGAGTGGTTTTTTTTTATTTTTCATTTTTTTTGGGCTTGGTGATTTCAAAGTCTCTTAAAATAAATCCATCTGGGGCGCCTTCCATGGAAGTTTTGTTTTATTTTGGTTTTTTTTTTACACCATAAAGTTACCGAGCTTTCTTTTTATTCTTTGCCTAGCATTTTATTATCTCTTTTGGTCAACATTTACCCATAACCCAATAGACTGCTGTAGTGACAATGAAATGGGGATCATGCAAGACGATGGCATTTTTTTTTCTCCTAGCGGGGTGCAGACTAATGAAATGTATTAAAATAAAAAAGGTATACCTATGCATAATTTTCTAAATGTTTCTTTGTGTACCCTTTTCCTTTCTCCCCTGCCCTCTTCCATTTTCACATATATTATTTAAAGCAGGTGGTTTTTTTTTTCCAAGGAGTTGCCAGAGATTTCTTGGGAAGAACAACAATGGCGGACACGCTTCATTGGATGGTGTCGTGTCCACCATCTTCTCTTGGAGAGTATAGCCATGGAAGATGGAAAAACTGGAAGGGGTGGTTGGTGATCCTCTAGATCACGTTTTCTTAAACGTCATGGCTCAAGAGCAGTGCCCAATCACGAGAAAAATTCACGTGGGGTGGATTATTATAAAAATAATGCTAATTACTATCCCCTAGGAAACAAAAGATGTGTCTTCAAATGAAACCTAAATTCTCAGTGGAGTGCGTAAGTTCCACAAATTCCTTGGCAGATATTGGGAACAGGGTTTTCTTGAAGATACAGAGTTTGAGAATTATCTAAGAATATTTACAAAAGGTTTGGTGTGCGTAAGCAAGCTTCAGGTTATATGCAAGTAAGAAACAAAACCTTTTTTTAACATATTTGAGTTGTCCACAAATATTACTGTGGGAAACCAATTCATTTTGCTTATTTCACCTGTTTCAGTGATGTGAGATGTAAAAATTCTTCTTGTTACTCATACTGTATGATATCGCTGTGGCCTGGAACAACCTTGCTGGAAAACATAAAATTCTTTATTTTTGGTATTAAACAAAGAGAAAAAAATGCTTTATGTGTATTCAAAAAGTTAAGTGTTTTCTTTTGGGGGGTAAAGGTGATGTTTGTATTTTTTAATCTAAAATTAATGGTTTTCTATACCCAAGAAATCCTGTTGTGTTTTCTTGAGCCAGAATATTAAAAAAAAAGTGTGGGATATGCATTTTATGGACATATTTTTCTAGCAGTGATAGTCTATCTCATTTAAAATATATTTATTTTCACTAGGGAAAAGGAGAATAATGTAAGTATGGGGTCCTATATTTCCAAAGGAGAAATGGGTTGGTTGTACTTGGAATTCCTTAAGGCACAAGAGGCAGCTAACTCTTCAGAGCATCTGATACGATGGTCATGGTCCTTCCATCCTTGATGGTGGCATGCTTTCCACTATCAATGGTAGAGAGATCCCATCGAGGACAGAAATGGGATCAGGTCTTAGTTCAATTCAACTGGCCTTGAGTTCCTTTCCCATTGATTTTGATTCAGATTGCCCAATGTCATCTTTTCTCTGAAAATATAGGACTAAATAATATAGTTTATGATAGCCCAGCTTGCCAGCTTGTTTTTCATTTGCTAAATGACCTTCCTTGACTTGGGTTATTGTGTATGGCACAAGAGGGAGGAACCTCTACGGGGGTTCTTTCTTGAGACCATTTCAGCTAAAATGGCTGCAGAGTCTGATCAGGCAAAGCAAAAGTGAAGATTATGAATGTTGCAGTGATGGAGGGGGAGGGAGAGAGAGGGATCGTTTGAACGGGAATTCATGACACAGGACAGAACATCTGCAAAGAACCTTTCTGCTTGCTTGAGATGGATTGCCACAATGGCAGTGGGATGACAAAAGAAGTCCATGGTCCATGGGATGAGGTTTCTAGGAGATGACCACAGGAATCGTAGGGGACTTTGGACTGTTACATGATGCAGGAATAGTACCGGTGTTTAATAACAGGGTTCCTATGGAATAGGACATACGTTGTACAGTAAACGTTGACATTCTATCCTGTAAACCATCAGAAGTCTATGCTTGGCCCAGTACTTCCCTGTCTCCTTTTTATACCATGGAAGCACTAGAGATAGGCCGAACAAGTGCTTTAGTGTAATGCTTAACGTGTTCGATCTGGTCTTGGGAATCTGGGATAAAGTCCCCACCCAACCATGCAGCTCAGAGCCTGGCTGTGACCCCATCTTTCTCTCTCAATCCAGCCTACCTCATGGGGATAAAATTAAGGGAGATCCCCATTTACACTCCCTTGAGGAAAGTCAAGATATAAATGCAATAAATAAAGCTGAATTAAAAATGGAGAGTTGAGATTTCAGATTCATAGAATATTCAGAGGCCCATAGAGACCTCAGACGTTCCCATTGTTGCAAGAGGGCCATGGAGATCTCAGATACGAAATCGTACGCAGGAGTTTCCCCCCCTCTTTCTTCTCCCCTCCTGATCTTGCATAGCTTTGTTGTACTTGTGTTGGTTGTACGAAATAAATCTTACCAAAACAGTTCCAAAGAAATAACTTCTCTGTCCCACCACCTATGTATGAATGGAGGGACCTGTACTGCAGATAATGTTTCTGTTTTCAATCTGTGGATGTGTTTTTGTGTGTCCAGTGTTAAATGAACTCTGTGTCCCTCCATGGACGGCTATATGACTGACTTGATCTTGATTTTAACTTAATCAGAATTGGATTTGGTCATTGATTTATTATTATTATTATTATTTTTTTTTCCTCTCATGGTGTTAAAGTTTACTAAACAAACTTGATACTAAAGTTTACTAAACAAAGTAATTTGAATGAAGAGGAAGTATTCCTTTTGCCTATCGCTTAGACTTCAAAGTCACATTCATCAAAAATCTGGACATGTTGGGAGAGGGAAATACTTTACTAAAAATAATCTGCGGGTGTGTTCCAACGAGTGTAACTCTCAGTGTTCTGTATGTGCTATGTGAACAAGGAAAACTGTATAAAAATGAATTTATATATTTATGGTTGAAATGGTGATGTTGCTTTGAACTTGATTTCACTCCTCTCAAAACAAAACAAAACCGTAAGATTCCGTGCATTCGTTAAAAATATATAGGAGGCCAAAGTTAGAAAGATACCGGTATCTCTCAAGTGAAACTTGAAATCATATCAAGATTGCCCATAATTCTGTAGCAGTAAAGTCAATTGGTTCTGGTCAGAGGGAGGGAGAGGGAGGGAGGAAGGAAGGAAGGAAAAGAAGAAGGAAGGAAGGAAAAGAGAGGGAGGAAGGGAAGGAAAGGAAAGGAAAGTGATCTCTAATTAGAATCACTGGGAAGATCAGTGACTGACTCGTTCAAAACTGCCTAATTGTTAAAGACTAAGCAATGGGAAACTCTGGGCACATCCACATAGGATCTTTTCACTGCCCCCACATCAGTTGCAAATCTGGGGTCCTGATCTGGCAGCTGAGCAGCAGTGCATTTGAAATTGCAGTGAAATGAATATTTCATTGGAAATACTCCAGCCCAATGGGAGTCGTAGGCTGCCTTCCCCTTCTTGGGCTCTTTTGCATCACTATGCATCTGGCCTTCAGATCTTTTAAGAGGGAAGTTGGCATGATGGCTTTGCAGCTCTTCCTCATAGAAACCACTGAGATTTTGCATTCCATCAGGCAAATGCCTTTGCAGCACAAAGTTAGGACATAGATAAGGATGGGGTGATGGTACACACAATTTATTTTGCATAGAGTGGGGAGAAGAAATTCTTGTTTAGAGCGAGAGCTGCAGCAGCTCAGACAAGGTGGGACTGGCTTTTCCTTCCTTTCAGTATTGCTTTTAAGGAATTGGGGAATGATAACAGTGGCAGTACAGAAGCATTCTATATTGCTCATTAGAATTACCAAGAGCCCAATCCACAATTCAGAGAAGTACATTGTAGGGGAATATATGCCAAAATGACCACCACTCCCAATCTCTGGATGAGTAGCTAAGTTAGAGTGCAACTGGTCTATTGCAAATGTGGTTTGAGTTTGGGCTTGGTACTGTGTGTAAACCCAACCACTATGGTGTATCAACCATGGTTTACAACTTAGCACATTGTATACCTGCAGTCCAAATGTGATTTATCTAACAAACCATGGTTACACTGTGACTTAATCTGGGCATGGATCCCATCACTGACTTCCTCCAAGAAAATGGGAAAAGATCGAACCTTTTTGGAACAATCTCCCAATTGTTCTCTACATGCATAACCAAGTCAAGGAATGCAGAGTTTCAGTGCCAGTCTCAAAACTCTTGTCTTCGAAGAAGTAGGAAGATTAAGGCTTGGGGAAAAAGTTCTTCTTTCTGCAACTTGAATCTGGACACTCTTTCAGAACCAACATAATTTCAGGAGAAAGTCTTACGGCTCTCTTCAGTCCAAGATCCTGGTTGGATTGTGTCCTTCTTGAGACACCCATAGTCTGGCTAATAACTAAGCTGAACTCTCTCCATCTAGGGACAGCAGGGCCACCACAAAGTCCTTTTCCTATACAATAGCCTATGATGGTTTATAAAGCACTATATTGCCACTGGGGACATCCAGATCCCTGGGTGACATCCTTAAGTGGTCCAGATTATCCTGAAGCTACCTGCAGAAGAATGAAAGTATGTATATGTTGGAGTAGATCTTTCCACTCCTGTATTACTACTGTTAATAGTAGTTAATAACCTGGCTCTGACTGGCTTGGAAACATAACAGCCAAAGATTGGACCTGGTCCAACAAGTAGCTTAACAGGGTCAGTGAAGGAGGGTGTGGACTGTGGAAACATCCAAATACTCAGTTAAGCCCTTGGCCAAGCAGCCCCAGCCATGCCAAGGGTTCAGCAGCAGTTATATGGGAATGCTAAGCTTTCAAGCTTCCCAAAACAGCTTTTTAGATGCCAATGGTTGTAGGTAAGGCAACAGACATGCCAGCGACATCTTTTCCTGCCCCTTCCCTCCCCGGAGTGAAAAGAGGGTAGCTTTGTCGCTGAAGAACCCAACCTGAACCATTGAACAAAGCCAAGAAATGCCCTGTTTGGATAAAGAAGGCTTTAGAAGAGAATATATGTAGCTCAGGGTTGAATTGAAAGAAAATGGGGGCTTCTTCCTGAGGACAAGGATATTTATTGTGAATGTGGTGCTATTCAAACAATTATCCATCTTTTGCAGTGCCCCTCGGGACCGACATGCACACAGAATGACTTCCTGGCCGGAAATACCTTTGCCATCCACGTGGCCCGGCATTGGGCAAGAATTATATAAATATATTTTTATTAAAGTTTTTAATTTTTTAACATTTAGATTAATCATGATCTCCCTTCCAGTTCCTGCATTTCTGAGACGAGACGAGGGTTGGATTGTGGAGTCCTTGGGGTGCTCTGAGCTCAGAG